AGGGACAGCCTAGGATGTTAGAAATATGCCTTGGGGCGGTGATCAAAGAAAAGAAGCAAGATTGCCAGCACATTCCTCTGCAAGTATTTGTGGTACAACGTGTACGAAAAGGAGATCTTAAAATAACTTTTCAAAGCTCATTTGTCCCAGCTGGCGGGGCCCACGGCACACACGCTGCAGGGGAAACCTTCCAGAAAATGGCCCACAAACAATAGAAGAGGTGTGGCAAGGCATAGCTTAGTGGTAAAGCACTGTCTAGGTGTTGCAAGGTTAAATGCCTCACAACTCCAGATAAAAGTGCCTCAGGGACAACTTGCACGGCTCCACAAGCAAAATATGGCACAGATCTTCAAGGACTGTACCAATTTAACTGCAGGCGAGAGACTGTGTGCTTGAATACTACTACCAGATTTGGAAGGCATTGGTGCTGGATGCAGGCAGTCTGGCCCCTGGTTAACAGCTTCAGGGACACACAGAAGGCATGGAGGCAGGATCACTTTTCAGCCTGAGGGTCTGAATAATAAAATCCCTTCAGAGCAGGATTGGAGCAAAAGTGGAAGCAGCCAACACCCACCCACTCCCCTAAAAAAAACCAGTGATGTGCTTGCAGGATGTGATCCTTAGAAACTAGAGTCATAGAAAGCTGCCTTACTATGGCAAAAAGGCTAGTATTGAGTAAAGATAAATCTATGGCCCCCTTTAGTCAATGGATTGAACATATGACAGCACTCGCAATGTATGAACAACTTGCTTACAGATGTAGCCTTTCTACGGAAAAATATAACAATATTGGGAAAGCTTTTATAAAAAATATAATAGGTTATAAATAACCATATATGTATTTGGATGATAACATTATATACCTGTCAGATGCTGCTGGTGGTTGCTCACAAGTAACCAGGCAGGACTCCAAACCTGTCTTTTACAGGTTTTTATTGTGAAAACTATTTACAGTGCAGATCTCCAAAGTGCATGTCCGTCTTAGTCACTTACAAAATCCGGGAGTGGCCCCTTCCGGCTTCTCCCCCAACATAAGAACTTCGACACCCCAAGCCTCCGCCTCCCTTCCTTGTGTTTTACCCTTCTGCGCAAGCTGGGCGACGGAAGAGGCGTGCGTCCCTCCTGGCCAGCCTGGCTAGGTGAGGCACTGGGGCTCTCCGCAGCATCCTCAAGCCCTTTCCCCTCTTCTCCACTGGAGGGGTGGCTTTCCCCACCGATGGAAGAAGAACTGCTCCTCAGGAGTTTTGGAAGCTCTCTGTATCCCAACGCCCCCCTGCCTCCCTCCCCTGTTCCGATGGCAGTTCCCTGACAATACCTGTATACTAAACAAGCATATATGGAATACAAGTTGTTTGCATGTATAGTATATAATATACCTTTAATTTCATTTTCTTCTGTATTTTCTTTTTATTTTGTTTAATTTACTAAATTTACTAGTAAATCTGTATTTACTAAATTTTGTTTAATTAAAATATTATAAATTAAAAAATTAAAGGAAAAAAATAGAAAGCTGACTTATATCAGATTGTTATTCCATCTAGTTCTGTATTGTCAACACTGGCTGACAATAATTCTCTAAGGTTTCCAGAAGGGAATCTTTTCTAAATCCACCTGGAGATGTTGAAGGCTGACCTGGGATCTGTATCTCCTCTACCACTGAGCAACTGCCCTTCCTCCTAGAAGGAGCCTGATCTGAAGGCCAAAGAACATGCAAGCAGATGTGGAACCTGACAAACAGGGAGGGAGGAGGCAGGCAGCAAGACAGACAACACAGATTCTGGAATATAAAAATAACTCAGAACAAGCCCCAAAGCTGGCCGTTACATGGGCCATGACTTGGCTCTGAGCTCAGGAAGAAGCAGCCGAATATCCGCCAGGCATGCACATGTGACGTCATGTTGGGCCTGTGGGGACAACATTCTTCCACTATTCTGCAGCGTGAAGTGGCCCGCCAGCAGACAGACTGGGAGAGCCTCTCCGATTTGAGTCTCCTTCGACCACGGGGCAGGGAACCCAAGGGCAGAGTTTTCTTCTAAGCAACCTGCCGATGGTGGGCAAGGCCAGAGGCAGAAGTCGGCCGAGCAAATCATGCGACTTTTAACTTGGGACATTGGGCTAGTTTCGGCTCATGCCCATCTCTATCATCCATCCAGGCAACGAAGGGGCAAAGCAGGGTCAGTGAGGGTTCTGGCTCAGCAGTCCTAAGGAGGGGCCAGAGGGCTGAAGAAAGAGGCCTGGAGAGGCTGGAGGGTTCGTCATACCTGCCTATTGCCAAACAGAACTTGGATACTTGATTTCACCCTCTTTTTTGCCTTCACAAAGCCTTTGGAACATGCAACGGGTGGTATTTAGAGGGCTTCAGAACCTCAAGGGATCATAACTGCGAAACACATTGTTATGTAGATCGCTGTGAAAGCTTCACTTGTAGTGTTCAGGAGAAATGTTGGGAGAGGTCTTGGAGCACAAATAGTGGCCTTTGCTGTCAAAAAACAGACAGCGCAGCCCAAGGTGAGGGGAAGGAGTGAGGGAATTTCCACACCAGGAACAAGGAGGAAAGAAAGACTGACATCCAGATCTGCTGCCTTGAGGATCTTGCTGCCTCAGGCTGTTGCCTCACCTTGCCTCATGAGTGGGCCGGCTCTGCTGAAGCCTGGGCCGGGGAACCTTTCTCAGCCCAGGAGCCACATTCTCTTCTGGAAAAACTTCCAGGGGCAACATGCCAGTGGAGGAGGAGCAACAAGAAACCTTTGTGCAGGAGGCTGGCTGCCACACACAAACACTCTCTCTAGCCTCCATTCCAGCCAAGCCAAGTACTCATGGAGGATGCGAAGGAAGCCTAGCATGAAGAGTAACCTGGAAAGAGGGAGTGTGGCTTTGGGGGGGGGAGCCTTGAGGGCCAGATAAAGATTCTTGAAGGCTAACTTTTGGCCCCCAGGCCTGAGGTTGCTCACCCCTGCCACGGCCCCAGCCGCTGTTCATGTGGCACATGGGGTTCATTTCTGGAGCTGCTGAGCAGCCCACCAGCTATCAATCAAAAAGCTCCTCTCCCTCCCTCCCTCAGTTGCTCTCTTGCCTTTCCAGAAGCAGAAGCATTTCAGCCAAAAGGAGAAGCTGAAGGAATGAGAAGGAAATGCGCTGTTGTGCTGGTGATGAGGAGAAGACCAAGGACTGTGAGTAAGCTGCTTTGAAAAACAGGAGTGTCTTACGAGAACTGACAGGCAGGCGAGGAAGCGGGGTGTGGATGAAAAGAAAAGAAAACCGGGGCTCCTGCAGATTTCCGGTTAACAGCCATTTCTGGAGGGAGGTTATTGTGGTGGCGCCTTCCACAGTACTCTGGTCAAGCACTCAACTAAGATGCCACACAAAAGGAAGGAAAAACTAACACTCAGGGCGTCAGACAGCAGATGGGCAGTGAGTCGGTAATAATCCCCCCCCCCACCATCCATTCCTCTCCAAATGTTCTCCCACCTCAACCTACTGCTCCCATCAAACATTGTAGGACTGCAACGCCAATCAGCGCCAGCCAGCATGGGCAAGGGTCACAGCTGATGGGAGTTGTATTCACCAAAAAACATCTGGGGGCAGCAGGCTGGGCAAGCTTGTTCTACTTCAGGGGTGGGGAACCTTTTTCAGCTGGTGGGCCACATTCCTTTCTCAGCAGCCTTCTGAGGGCCACATGACAGTGGTGCCCGGGCCAAAGACAAGCAGAGGAGCAGATATATTTTACCTTTCTACAGCAGGCTTGTTCCTACTGGCACCCCTCTCTATCCTCCACCCAGGCACGCAAGTGGCGTTAGCCAGGTGAAACACACACAAGGAGGGTTCAAATGCATGGCTGAGGGTCTGACAGAGGGTCCAGGGGGGCCATATTCAGACCCTAGGCCTGAGGTCTCCCACCCCTCTTCTACCTAAGGCCAAGGGGTAGAGGATCGGCTGCAAACCAGCCTGACACAGATAGCCCTGGTCCATGCCAGGCTTGGCCTCCTGCCCTCAACCGTTTTTCCTCCTCCCCTCAGAGACACAGCAGCCGTCTGTGCTTGCTGTTTGCTTGAATCCTCTCCTCCAAATTCACAGGCCTCCCTTGTGCCTGCCGCTGCTCCTCCCCACCCCCTGCCAGCCCACAAGAGCCAGCTGCCTCAGCTGGAAGCTAAGCAATCGGAACCTGGGAACCCAGCCAAAGCTCTTACAGATGCGTCTAGCTTGAATCTGCGGGGGGGGGGGCTCAGCTGCATGGACGGCTGCTCCTCCCCACTCCTCTGGCGAAGGAAGGGCGAGGGGGAAATGAGGGAACCGCTTCTGGTGCCAGAGAAAGCCCAAGGAATTTGCTGTGTGTGGCTAGCCCTCACCAGCACTGCAGCCTCCAGCCACCAATAAATCCAAGAAACACAAAGAGGGGGAGCGTGGGGGTGGGGGAAAGGGCCTCAAGAGGTCACCTAAGTCCACAACTGCTGCACCAAAGAAGGATTAATTAGGCTTGAGCCGCTCTTGACATATGTTTATGCAGGTCTATATTTAAAAACTTCCACTGATGTAGAAAGGAAGGAACTCCACGGTTTCTGTTTGGCAACCACTTCCAAGAAATGTTGTGGATATTTTTCTGGCTATCATAGACCACAAAGCTGGGAAAGGCCACAATCAAATGATCTCACCAGGTAGATCCCATACTTGAAAGCATCCCTTGCCAACCCTCATACAATTCTCCAGAAACCTCCAAAAGGAGGAAATGCTGGTTTCTGAGCTGGTTCCCATGTTCTGTGTACCCTTCAAGGTACTGGATGAACAGATCAGTTTATTTTTCTGTCCATTTGGGGTTTGTTCATTTTTGGGTCCATTTTGTGCCACTTCTGCATTAACCCTTGGATGGTGGTGGTTGTTTAAACACATAAATTTGTATTTCAAGATTTTTGCAACCTTTCCCTACAGACCCACTTATAGTGGTGCACAAAGCACTCTGCGCATAGCCTTGCTACACACGCAACCGCTCCTTGCATTCCCCTTACCTTTCATTCCCTGGCTGGAACTCCGAGAGTAAGGAGGGCCTCCTCCGCTGTGGCTGCAAGATAGACCCAGGGGGAAGGTGAGAAGGGTAGTCCCTGGAATGGTGCTGATACTCCAAGAGTCCCACATCCTGAGCAAAAAGGGAGGGGGGAGAAAAGAGACAGGATTTGCAGAGGCTTTCACATAGGTTGCAGCTGCCTATTACACACTCTCAATCTTCCCCACAATAGGACTGTGTGCCCTCCACACTAAAAGCACACCCTCAAAAGATTCTGTAGCAAGGGAATGTGCATTTTGTGACCCGCATACACTATGCAAGCTTACATCTAACAATTTCTATAATTTCTATGATTTATTCTGTTTGGGGTATTTTGCATCATTGTTTTGCCAGTCGGGGGGGGGGGGCAGGGGTGAGCAAGAAGCTTTGAAGCAAACCAAAGCCCCTCTGGAAACCACAAAAAAATCTATTTTTATTATGCCACCACTCATTTTTGACAGGTATCACACATGAACTTTTCAAACTTACCTCTGCAGCCTCTAAAAACCAGAAACATGTTTGCTTTCACCCTTCTTTAACCAATAAAAGGAAGATTGGGGGGGGGGGGAGATAATCTTATGATGTAAGAAAGAAAGTGCTCCTGTTCCCTTATTGGGTACCCAAGAGCCCATATAGAGTCCTTTTGTAGGTTCTCTATAGGTAGGGGAAAATAACAGAAACCAACTAGAGAATATTGAGAAGCAAAGCAGACAGTAAGTCTGATCTTTATTAACTGTTGCAACAAGGTGCTCCCCTCACACGCAGAAAAGGAGGAGGACCCTAAACAAAGGTGTGCCCGCCCTTATAAAGACATTTTAAATTGCCCGCCCTGGAGTCCAAGACCACCCCCAGAAACATCATACCTACATCACAAAAGAGGCAGTCTACAACAGAAATCTGAATGTGTTGTTTATCTTATGTGTGGCAAGTTACCTGATTGCATTATCTGGGTTTTGGCCACTCTTTTGTTATTATAACTACTTAATTCCTGAATCTAGGTCACACCCTGTTCATATCTTGAATGTGCCCTTAAGACAGGATTTGTGAGGAAAGAGACAATGGGGAGGTTTCCCACTTTGACCTTGCAGAGAAATATTTGAGGTCAATTTGTTCAGGACCTTTTCTATGGGGTTTCAGACATGTGGTTTATATATAGTTATGAATATATATATGGTTTATATATAGTTATGAACATATATGAGAGAGACCTTAAAATTCTTATAACAATAACAACAATAAAAGCTGACATTCCCAGAAAGTTTAGTTCTGAATCAGAGACCAAGAGACCATGCAGGGCCCTGACCATAGCGATCCATTTCTTCAGATGTTAGGAATGCATTAAACAGCCTCACACAAAGCTGGCTGTCCAGCTCAGCACTGTCCACAATGACTGGAAGCGGCACCCCACCATTTCACAAAAGGGTCTCTCTCATCCCTACCTGGTGGGGTGGGGTGTTGAACCTGGCACCATCTGCAAGCAAAGCAGACGCCCTACCACTGAGCCCTGGCCTTGGCTTCCTGCAGAGGATTACCACTGAGGAGAACCTTGTCAGAAAGCCTGGAGGGCTGCTGCCAGTCAGTGCAGACAATATTGAGCTAGATGGACCATTGTAAAAGAAGAAGCAAAGTCTCAAAGTGGTATTAAAAACAAGTCTTAATAGTCCGAGATACAGTGTCTTGATAGCAGAACCTGTGTCTTGTGCCCCTAAGAAAGATTGTCAACAATCAAAATGGCCAGACATTTTATTGTTCTGTTATTTGATCAAGACCTACACTTCAGTACCACCTTCCTTTCGCTTTTCGGTACCATTCTGCACACATGCACACACTTCCCCACCCCGTCGCCAGACTATCACTATTCTGCCTTTCCTTCAAGAAACTCAAGATGGCTCTCCCTTCCCCATTTCACCTGTTTTAAACAAAATCTGCCCTTTCCCCTTATGGGGTATCCAAGAGCCCATATAGAGTCCTTAAGTGGGTTTCCTATCGGTGGGAGAAAATAACAGAGGCCAACCAGAGAATACTGAGAAGCAAAGCAGCTAGTAAGCCTGATCTTTATTAAACTGTTGCAACAGGGTCCTCACTCCCCACACACAGGAGGGAGGAGGAACCCAGAATAAAGGTGTGCCTGCCCTTAGGTAGACTTTTCAAACTGCCCACCCTCAAATTCCAGACCAACCCCAGAAACATCATACATACTTGACAGAAGGGGTGTAGCCCAGGACCCCCCCCCCACACACACATCACAGAAAGAGGTGGTTTGCAGCAAAAACCTGTCTGGCAGAAAACCTGTCAATGGTCACTGATTGGATCACCCAGCCAGGCTGGCCATTCTTTTGTAATGATAAACTCTTCATTCCTCAGCCAGGTCACAGGCTCACCCTATTCACATCTTCAATGTGCCCTTAAGGCAGGATTTGTGATCACAGAGACAATGGGGAGGTTTTTTCATTTCCTCCCTCCTTGCAGAGAAACATTTGGTCAGTTTGGGAGAGTCAAAATGGTTTCAGGACTGTCTTCATGTACTGTTTCAGACATGTGGTTTATGTATTTATGTACGTGTTTGCCTTGTACATTTAATTTATATATTTGAGACCTTAAATTCTTATAATACACCCTCACAACAACCCTGTGAGGTAGCCAAGCCAAGAGATCGGGACCAATCCAAGGGCACTCAAGTGAGCTTCACAGTTGAGTGGGGATTTGAACCCTGGTCTACCAGTCCAGGGCCAACAACTGGCTCTGCTTCACAACTCAAAAGGGTTCCTTGGGCCATACATCAAAGAGTTTCCTGAAGGAAGATCATTTGAAAAAGCTCTGACCTGAGCCATTTGCCATTATCTCAAGGATGTCTCTTCAAACACTCTCAGAAGGGGAATATTTGTTTCAGAGAGGGCAGGATGGAGGTGCTATTTTATTAAAAGGCACATCCATCTCATTCCTAGACCCCTCCAAAAAGGAGAGGCCTCCCTCAGTTTAATTAACTGAAAAGCTCTCTGCCACACCTATTAAACACCTTGATACCTCAGCTGTTCCTTATTAGCCCACAGGAAAGGGAGGGGAGATGCTGTGCAAAGAACAAAGAGCAAATTATTTAGAACCTAGGCCAAAGCCACATGATACCAAGAGCAATTTCATTAAAAAATGGAAGACCTGGCAGCCATAACGGAGTCACCATGCAAAAATATATGAGGAAGGTAAGTCAGTATTTTAGCAGAGCCAAAGGGGGATTTCAAAATCTCTCTTAAAAATCCCTTAAAAGAACCTGAAAAGGAGGGGGGAATCCTGATGTTGTGGATTTGGGGGCAGCTTTTCTTAAAAATCTTTTTACACACACACACCCCCACCCCCACACCCCCTCCTCACACATACAGCCAAGCGTATTGTGGAACCAAGATTCATCATACACAAACCTGTTCATAGGTCTGAAAGGTAAAGGACCCCTGGACTACCCTCTACCACATCCTTTTAAATTAGCCTTTGCCAACTTAGTGCCCTCCAGAACTTGACTGGACTCTCTCCCAGTCCTACCCGGAGATGCTGGGGACTGAACACTGGACTTCCTGCATGCAAAGCAGATGCTCTACCACCAAGAATTCCACCCCAGGACTGTGGACTTAGAAAACTTTTATTTCAGCAGAACTACTCTTATTTATTACTTAAAGGTAAAGAGACCCCTGACCATTAGGTCCAGTCGGGACCGACTCTGGGGTTGCAGCGCTCATCTCGCTTTATTGGCCGAGGGAGCCGGCGTACAGCTTCCGGGTCATGTAGCCAGCATGACTAAGCTGCTTCTGGTGAACCAGAGCAGCGCACGGAAACGCCGTTTACCTTTTAGCCAGAGCGGTACCTATTTATCTACTTGCGTTTGATGTGCTTTCAAACTGCTAGGTGGGCAGGAGCAGGGACCGAGCAACGGGAGCTCACCCCGTCGCGGGGATTCGAACCGCCGACCTTCTGATCGGCAAGTCCTAGGCTCTGTGGTTTAACCCACAGCGCCACCCGCGTCCCTGATTATTACTTAGCTGAATGCAAACCAAGGTCTCAGAGCAGGGTTCATACAATTCAGGTGTTTACAGAACCAGAATTAGGCAGATGGTTGGATGGCCATCTGTCATGGATGCTTTAGTTGAGATTCCTGCATTGCTGGGGGGTTGGACTGGGAGACCCTTGGGTCCCTTCCAACTCTGATTCTTTCTTTTGCAAGCCCCCCCCAAAGGTGCTGTCAAAAAGAAATAAAAATATAAAGTATGAGGCAATAGCAATGGTACAGATGAAGCCCTCTGGGGTGTGCATTAAACATTTCACATTTTGTAAGAAGTGAAAACGGAACATCTATCAAGCAGATGGAAAGAGCAGACAAAAGACAAGCGTTATTAGCCACAAACCACAGCCTGGGTCTAGGTTATCAGATGCTTAAATCTTTTTGCATGGACAGCAAAAGTCTTCCTTTTCTTGGTCACGCTGAGCTCCTGCTCTGAACATGAGCTGTGCACACTTGCACACCAGACATTCCGAACTGCTCCACTTCATAGCAGCCTGCACCCAAAAGGCACCAAACAGAAACCATTCCGTAGTTTTCTACGTCACAGTCCTGGGGTGGAATTCTATGCTGTGCCATTACCCATGTTCCAACTGCACAAACGTTTCAGCTTACCCCCCTCTCCTCTCCCTGCATGCTGTTCTCTCAACTCCCTCAAGCCAATTTCGGGGGGGCGGGGCGGAGGGAAGACCTGTATCCCTGGTCAGTAACTGATCATTGAATTGTAGAGTTGGAAGGGACCCCCAGGGTCATCTAGTCCAACCCCCTGCAATGCAACATGGGGCTCAAACCCACAACCCTGAGATTAAGAGTCTCATGCTCTACCAACTGAGCCATGCTAGCACCTTAGGTCACCTGTACTTTGCAGGAGGAATTCCATTGTGCTAGCATGATAAACCCACTTAAAAAAATAATAATACATGGTTAGAAAAGTGACAGGGAAATGCACTGCAAGTTGTGGGATGAACAGACAGACAGCAGAAAAGATGTGAAAATTTGAAAGTGAATCAGGATGAATGCTCATAGTAGTATAAACCTCTCCGCAAAAAAT